CTCTGCAGTTTACACTCATCTACAGGCCAGGACTCAGCAGTCTACACTCATCTACAGCCCAGGACTCTGCAGTTTACACTCATCAACAGGCCAGGCCTCTGCAGTCTACACTCATCTACAGCCCAGGACTCTGCAGTTTACACTCTTCTACAGGCCAGTGTTCGCATCCTTGATAGAGTGGAATGTTGGTTTGAGAGAGGAGTAAAGAAAGACATTTATCGTGAAACAAAATTGTCCATTCTTAAACCATGTGTGTGTCTTCATGTCCAGTTGTCTCTCTCTTACAATGCTGTTTTTGCGAGTATGGTTCAGCCCTCTGTGATCAACAGATGATAAACAGGGCACAAACGATCTAATGTTAGGCTGAGGGTACTCTTTTGCATGTGAACAAATAGTTTGGATTGGGGAATGGCTTGAAATTATAAAGCGCCTTATCAAACATTTTAATTATTCACACATTCACACTGATGGTGGTAAGCTACATTGTAGCCACAGCTGCCCTGGGCACACTGAGAGGCGGGGCTGCCATGAACCTGCACCACTGGGCCCTCTGAGCACCATCAGTRGACAAGGTGGATGAAGTTTCTTGCCCATGCCATTTGTTGGTACCTTTCCCATGAGTCTTTGCCTCGATGATTTCACTGATACGTCCAGGACCCACTGCGTTCTGGGCTGTGAGGGTGAACTTGTACCAGGTACCGCATTTGAGGTTTTCCAGCCGATAGGCGCGCTCACTGGGACTGATGGCAAAATTCCCCCACTGCTCACTGTTATCTTCAGAGTACTGCAGGATGTAGCCTGGAGATGAAACAGTGCTGGTCAATCCTCTGCTTCAAGCCAGTGAAAGTCAAAGACTGAAGCTTGTCTGACCTCGTATGGAGCTGCCTCCGTTGTCTCCTGGGATCCAGGAAAGGGTGATGGAGGTTGTGGTTGTCTTCGTCACGGTCAGACGAGGCTGGTCTGGAGGAACTAGAGGAAAAACAGAAAAGAAAACGATCAAATGAATGATCTCAGTATGATGTACATGTGTTAGACACGTTACTCATCCTCACCTTGAACCTGCAGATTGAGAACRATTTTATCCAAACCAAAGTTGTTACTGGCCACACAAGTGTAGTTCCCAGAATCCTCTGCTTTCACGGTGCGGATTACAAGACTACCATTTCCATGCACGCTGCGCCGGCTGTCAATCACAACTGGTGCAGGGGTTCCATTACTGAAACACGTGTTCGTGGTTAACCTTCAAGTTTCATTCGCATCATCAGACTGCAGCTTGTACATTACTCACATGTCCTTCAACCACTTGATGCTGGGGGACGGATCTCCAACAGCTTTACAAGGAAGCACAATGTCCCTCATCCAGGGGGTCGTTACTGTCCTGTTGAACGTCAGAATTCGAGCCGGAGCTGCAGGAATGAACGAGAGGTAAATATACAGGAACCTTTTCTGTCACTATTCACCATCCATCTATACGTACAGAGGAACTACAGAAGCATGTTAGGGCCATTATGCATATGAGAAACAAAGAAGCAAATCTCTGCCAAAAAAACTCAGATAATTTAAGATTAGCTTCAAAACATTTCAAGAAAAAACAAGAATTTCCCTGAGCCCCAAAAGTTGTAAATTAGCAAGAAAAAACTCAGAATTTTCGATGATTAATGGCAGAAATTTTGGACATTCAAACGAAGTATTTTCTGACATTGTAAAGTCATAAATTTACAAGAAAAAGAAGTTTTCAGTACTTTGAACCTCTTTAATCTGCTCTAGTTGAAAACTTAAAACATGAAGAAAACTTCAAACCTGGACTAGATTTTTCTACACTGATTGTAGAATATTTAAAACCAAGTGTGTTAATAGTGAAACATATTAATATGGCCAGATGAAGAGGGGAGAGAATTAGACTAATTGAAGCATCTGAAAGGATCATGGAGCCTATAGACAAAATAATTTTCAAAACTCAAAGCAGCCATGCAATACCACCGTCAATTTCCGGAACTTGTGGTGACACATCCTAATTCTGTAACTGGGTATTTCAAAATAAAAGCCTATGAATCATTTGAAAATAATTTTTCTGTTAAGCATGTTGTGAAGTTCGTGTCTGCAAACGTGCTATATAAATAAAGTTCACTTACATATTAATTGCT